GTGTTTGAGGGGCCGCCTGGTGGCACAGCAGTGAAGTGCACACATTCCACTTTGGCGGCCCGGGGTTCGCTGGTTCGGATCCCAGGTGTGGACATGGCACTGCTTGGCAAGCCATGCTGTGGTAGGCGTCCCATATATAAAGTAGAGGAAGATGGGCACGATGTTAGCTCAGGGCCAGTCTTCCTCAGCAAAAAGAGGATTGGCAGCAGATGTTAGCTCAGGGCTAATCTTCCTCAAAAAAAAAAAAAAGTGAGAAGTTTTGGGCCCTTGCAGTAAGCCCCCCAAAAGATCACAATATGAAGCCAGCACAGCCTAGGAGGGATCTGACTCCAAGAGAACAACTGGAATAAGTTTCCAGCCCAAGATGCTTTAGTGATGGATTTGGAGTAGACGACAACAATCTGTGGCTACGCTATTCTCTAAATCTTGCTCCAAATGCTATCTTCTTGATGTTCATATGCAAAAATAGGTTATTAATACTTAATATTTAATCAGACTGATGCCATTGTGTTATTAAAACTGCATTTTTCATCGGACTTCGCTGAATTAAATGTATGTGTCTCTAAGATTCCGTCAGCCACTCTGAGGACCTCTGAAGTTGTGTTTTGGATGTCAGACCATCAAGATGGCAGCTACTCACACTTTCAGGTAGGCCCTGGGCAAAGCCATCTGCCTAGAGAGGGCATGCACACAAACCCAACCTGCCACTGAGATGGTAAACATTGTAACAGATTCCAGACAGGATACGGGACCTCCATTTCAGCTTACAGAAACTGATTAAAAATGAACCAAAAGAAGCACAGAAAAGGATGCAGGTGCACAGCTACATAGGAACTTATTTGTGTAGTTACACAAACGTCAAAACCAAGGTTCAAACTCCAGCATTTGTCAAGATTTGGCCATCTAATCCTATTTATCATTAGCCAGTAGTCTGTCATTCAGCTTATGGTCTTAACGCACTACAAAAAGATAAATAAATTTTTGAATATTAAAAACTTTGATCTAAAACTTTTGTATGAATTTGTTTATGTGCAGCTCTGACTTTATTATTAAGCCTGGTCTGTAGATTTAGCACAACTTTGGGAAATGAAATGAATAAACCAAAAAACAAAATGTTTATCATCAGGGAAATGAAAGGGGTATAGGGAAATATTTATTTGAGTTGTTATGACAACAGAACAAGCCATCACAACAACATTCTTTCTGTTCCATCTGTCAAACTTTGACTTGACAGAGTCTTAAGAAACACTCAATGTCCACCCTAAAGATGAAACAGAGCGAAAATGTTATTCTAAATCTGATAGATTTTTGGCTCAACTTAAAACCATTTTATAACTCATACAATATTTGCCACAACTCCCTGCTATTTCCTCTTGCAGTGGGCAGACTCACTAGCAATAAGCAAATAAATTGTGTGGTGGGGGGAGGGTGGACCCTTTGTTAAGCACAGGATGCCTGAGGAGATGAGTCCTGAGTCAGGAATGGGGGCGCTTAGCAGTTCTGGACCAGGATTGCTGGGAGGGCAGGCACCGAGGAGCACAGTCCCAGGAGGCCCAGAGCACTCTGGCCCACGGAGTCAGAGAAGTTCAGAGCCGGGGGTCACCCAGTTCCGCCTGCCTCACTGGGGGCCCGGCTGGAAGATGAAGCGAGGGAGAAAAGCACACACATCTTCGCTTCTTCAGGAGACAATTCTGACCTTGCGTTTGTGACTGCCAAACACGAAGGGGGTCTTAAAGGCACGTCTTTAAAAAGACTTTCCATAGCCAGACAGGGCCACGGACGCTGCCCTTCACCCCAGTGCAGCCCACTGCGGCCTGCTCCTCCTTCCCTCTCCTCTTTTCTGGAGCCAGGCTGCCTGCGTCAGAGTCCCAGCTCTCCCTCGAACTGCTTCTTTGAGCAAAGTGACTTCACCTCTGTGTGCTTTTTTGTTTCCTAATAATAGAACCTGTCTGATTGAGTTGTCAAGAGCCTGAAAGAATACAGGTCAAACCCATGGAGGAACCTGGCCCGGAGGCGACATTCCAGTGCTCCCTGCTCCTGCACCGTTGTTATTCTCATCAGGTTCCCTTACGCTGTTTCCTTCTTTTCCTGCCTCAGAGCTCCACAGGCCTTTATTTATTTTCCCACCTCTTCAGGTCTGCATGGAACTACTGTTGGGTGGAAAGATAATTTATTGGGCAAGAGAGAGAATACTTGGAGCCATTTGTTACAGGAAAAGAATGAGCTGCCTTTGGGGACAATGAGACATCAGAGCTCTAGAAAGTCAGAGCTACAAGAGGCCTGGGTGCAGACAGCCCTTGCCTCATACCTGAGGAGACCCGGGGCCAACAGCTAAGGATGTGCGGGCTTCCTGCCTACTCTGGGAAGGCCTCCTCTGTGTGATAGAGAGGGACATGCAAGTCTGAAAGGGTAAAGGCTCTAAAAACGTAATTAAGGTATTTCACTCACAGACGTACATGTGCCTGTGCGCGCATGCACACACAGTGAAATTACTGTAGCACAGCCTGGCTCGGGACCTAAGGAGAGCACCAAAGTTACCCACATTCCTGGTGCCTCTTCTGCCTACTAAAATCCCATCTCAGTGCCTCACATCTGGCCGATGCTGCAAAAGAAAACACCCAGGGAGCTCTATGAGTCCCACAGTGAGAACGACTCACAGCAGCCCCAGCTGGCATTTTACCCCTCTTGTGGGTGTTTGCTGTTTGGAAAGACTAAATCTCTAAGGGTGGAGTGCCAGGCACCATGGAAGGTGGGGTGAGGAGCGAAACTGCAAAGTCCCCTCAGTCAGACCACATGGGTGACAAAGCTGCCCCAGAGCAGAAGGAGGAGGGGGCAGGGCCATTCACAGGGCTGGGGCCCCATCAGTTTCCTTTGCCTCTCATTACAGCAGCTCTGGGGGAAGGGCTGCCCCAGCCTCCCACCTGTCAACCTAGAAATCTGTCCAGGGACAAGGTAGAGGTGGCCAAGTCCCCTCCTGGACATCTCTGTTGTAGGCACTTCCAGGTGTTCTGGCGCCCTGAGCCTCTGACACATCCCCTCTGCTGCCCTTCAGGGATGCGTTTGTCTTCAACAGGCTCCCCTCCCTTTCTGTTCCCACCTTCTCCTTCACTGTACTTTGATGAGATAAATAGACGATACTTTCTGTTCTCCTTCTCTGTGGGGTCGGATGGGGCACAGCCCCTGATTGGCTCACTTCTCTCCAGCCACACGCATCTCCTCAGACGTTTTCTCAGGCTGGACCCTCCCTGAGCCTCACAGCTTTAACCCAGAAGCAAGCTCCTCAGGGACTGTTTGCCCCTCTCTGCTCCTGGGGGCCCTAGGTTTCCTCGACCTGGCCTTCACTTCTCACCTAGGCCTTTCTGACGTGCATCATCTTCCCCTCCCCCAAAGTCAGGCCTGAGAATTGTACAGCATATGACGGTGGGGGGCGGGGGGCGGAGTGGGGCTCCCAGAGAACACAGACAGTTACTAGAGTGCTGATGAAATCCGAGCCTGGTCACTGAAGGATTATTACTCATCCTTAGCTTCCAGGGCCCCAGCCTTGAGAACTCTCTCCTCCAAATTCCCCAGTGCCCAGGGAGCTTGGAGAGCTGCCCAGCGCCCAGACCAGCTGCAGGCGAAGGGACAGGGCCTGCTTCCTGAGCTGACTGAAGTGCACGAGGAGCACAATAACTAAGACATGAAAAGTGAACGGCCAACTAAAAAACAGGGTGGGAGCAGGCTGGGAATGGCCAAGTGGCTGCTGGCCAGAGAGGAGCACCATCAAGGTGACCAGATGGGCTGCAGCCAGAGGAGAGGGCTGGGTTCCATTTCCTACCACGCCTCCTGATGAGCTCCACATTCATACATACTGTCCTTTCCACTCTTTCCCTTTTCTTCCGCCTCCCTTTTGTTTTCCAGAGTTGAGGTCATAGTCTTCTCCAAACCACAGTTCCTCGATTTTCATGTTTTTGGCATTTCTTCTTTCCAGTTGGCCTTCTCAGTTGGCCTCACTGCTTCTCCTGGTTGGCTGGCCCTTCTCGGGTCGGGCCCCACATCTCAGCTCTTCCTGGAGTTGCAGCCACCACTCACGCTTCTGTGCCCTCAGTTCCAAAGTGCAGGAGGCACTGATTCAGTATTTGGAAATGATGAAAATGCCAGGAATTCTTTTTTTTTTTTAAGTTCAGAATTAAGCCAAATCCCTATCTGTATCTCCGTCCAGATCTTCTCTGATTTGTGACCTGGGCTTTGCAAATCACTGAATGTGACCATGAGGATGTGGGTGGCAGTGTGTGTATGGGAGATTCTGTGTGATTGATTTTAATACTGAGAGGAAGGGATGCCTTCGGGATACGTCTGTGCCCTCTAGCATGGCCCCGCAGCCCTCCCGTGAACCGGCCTGTCCACCTCTGCCAGCTCCTGGCTTCCCACTCTGCTTTCCTTTCTTGCTTAGCCACAGTGAATGGCTTTCAAGTTCCTGAAGGTGACGCTCTCGGCCTCCCCTTCTCCTTGTCTTTGTACTGACAGCTCCTTTTGCCTGGAATGTGCTTCCTATTTGCTCTTTGTTTTAAGATCGGGGGGGAAAACCCCAAAAACCCTCAGGGGGTACTCACCTCCCCTTGGAATGAGCACTCCCCTCAGTTTCCAGAGCGCATTGCCTCTAGTAAGCCTTTACAACGTGGTACTGGGCAGTCAGTGGGGTTCCCCTCACTGGACTGAGAACTCTCTGAGGACAGCTCTGTCTTTACTCCTCTGTTCCCAGCACATGGTAGACTGCCCAGCACAAAGCAGAAGGAGTGAGAAGTAGGCCAAATACCAGGTAAGTAGTGCACAGAAGTGCAGGCTTACCTCGTTTCACATAACAGGTGTGGCTTACAAACCTCCAGTTTTAGTGGCCCACTGACTCACATCTTACCTCAGAGGAGCTTCCTCCACAATCCTAGGCAGTCACCTGCCTACGGACTCCAGACAGTCCAAGACTGTCCTTCAAACACCTGAGCAAAAGTAGCCAAGGTTGGTACCTGAGCTTGTCTGCAATGAAGATGACCCTCCTTTCCAGAAGCAGGGAGGCAAAAACACAGAGGAGGTGGCGCACGCTGAGAGAGGAGAAAAGAGACTCGAAGTCCACGTGTTCGAGCCGGGAGTCCAGTGGGCGGCACAGTTCAATGACCTGTGGGGAACAGGAGCAGCCATGAGGGGCCCGTCCTGCCTGGCCAGGCCTCTCACAGACATCGCAGGCCTGGGGCTCTGAGGTCCTCAGCAGGGGTGGCCCACTGGTAGGGGAAAAGGGAAAGAAAAAAAGGACTGGGGAAAAGAGATCCTGGGGAAGCGGTGGTAGGGACTCAGTCTCATGGCTGAGTGTGAGGACAGTTCAGATGGAGGTGGGGAGAGAGGGTGAAAGAATCAATGGCCCTTGGCCCCAAGTGGCCGGAGGCTCTCCTTGGCAATGACGTATCTGGACACCCTAAGGGAGTTCTATGACCATGAAAGTGTCCTATCCAGTACAGCCCCACAGGAAAGCATCTCTGTCTCACAAGGGAATATTCTTACTGCAACGGAATCACAGGCTCATGCAGGAGGACCAGCAGATCCCGGCAGCACTTGCAAGACTCACCTCCTCTAGAAGGCTTTTCTTAATGAACCCAACCCCATTCCAGTCCCTTCCTGATGATGTGTTTTCAGCTTTATGTTTAGTGTGCATATCTTCTCGTTCTGCACTTGTTGAAATGTTCCTAAATTCATCTCAAGTCACTACTCACATGCACATTTTTCTCTTTCAATAGCTGCCTCCTTCGCAGTGAGCCTCGAGTCTGGCTTTTACTCTCAGCACAGCACCTGCCCAGTGCTGCCCACACTGTGGGGCTAACAGTAACATCCCCATGGCCATGCCACCTGTGTCTGGCATGGGATGGCTTAGGATTCTCCAGCAACAGGGAGACTGCTCCTCTCCGTGCTGGGAAATTGGGTTGTTCCAGAATATCCCAGACCCATCCTCATCCCTCCCCTCTCTCCAGAGGTGACCTGCTTTTCCAAGGGCCTTTGGAACTAGAGACTCAAGGCTCAATGGGATCTGCCTTCTGAGGTCCAGAGAGTCACATGATGGGAATAGGAAGGTCGAAAACAAGCCCCTGCATCAAATCCCAGCCCAGCCAAGGAAAGGGACATGCTTCAAAGTCTAGGATGAAAACAAAGTAATACCTGAGCTTGTCTTCCCTGAAAAGAATCTGTTTTACACTATAAGGTTATAGAGGTGATGCAGACCAAAAACATAAACAGGTTCAAATACAATTTAGGAAGGTAATGAGCTAGTAAGACAAGCTAAATATCTTCAGTGTAGGTCCCTAACGTGCAACGCCAACATCACGTGAAGAAACACCACGCACTGCCATGGCATAGGTCTGGGGGTTGCTCCTTGGCCCAGAATCCTGAGCTGGATGGACTGGACTTAGAGTGGAATTTATGATGCTCTCATAAGATGAGTGATCTGGGCCAGCCTGAGGAGCAAGAGGACATCACTAAATGTGACAGCCCATTGCAAGCCAGTCCCTCGGACCATTGGGACTTGGCTGTCTGGGCCATCCCCACCTAGGACAGGATAGGAACCTGATGGCTTACCTCAGTTCCTGATCCTGGCAAGAAGTTCTTGACAATGATGGTTTTGCCCAGGGCTGGGAAAGGGGCTTCCATAACACTCCTCATGAGGGGCTGCACCAGGGCAGGAGAGATGCCTCGTCGTTTTTCCACCTCATCCAAGATCTGTGAGGATCAGAAAACTCTGAAGTCAGGTCACCAAGGGGTCACACCCTTCCAGATGAAGTGGGCCTGCCAGGATGATCGAAGAATTATGGGGAAGTCCTGCTGTCTTCATCAGGCCAAGCTTATAGTCTCTTTTGCCCTAAGTGTCATCACCCCATTCTCTCCTCTATGTATCCACTCTCTTTGCGATGGGACTTTGCAGTTTCTCCTACTAAAGGGTGAAGTATAGTTCCTTGCCCCCTTGACTTTGAAAACGGTCCTATTTGTCACATGGGTTTGGCCATGTACATTCTCCATGGGAGCAATACCACCTCCAATGGGGAAAAATTGCTTTTTGGGGTGTTGGTGAAAAAAATTTAGATATTATAATGGTTTGTAGCCTTCTAACGGGCCACAGTACATAAACAGATACACAGTGTATCCATGGATAACCATTAAGGCAGGGGGTAGCCATTAAGGAAATGCAAAGCAAAACCACAATGAGATACCACCTCACACCCATTATGAGGGCTATAATAAAAAAACAGATAACAGGTGTTGGTGAGGAAGTGGCGGAATTGGAGCCCTCATACACTGCAGGTGAGAATGTAAAATAGTGAAGCCCCTTTGGAAGACAGTCTGGCAGTTCCTCTAAAGGTTAAACAGAGTTACCATATGACTCTGCAATTCCATTCCTAGATATTCACCCAAGAGAAATGAAAACATATGTTCACACAAAAACTTGTACATTAATGTTCACAGCAGCATTATTCATAACAGCCAAAAAGTGGAAACAACCTAAATGTCCATCAACTGGTGAACTGATAAACAAAATGTGATATCCATATAATGGAATATTATTCAACCATAAAAAGGAATGAAATACTGACATATACTACAACATGGATGAACCTTGAAAATATTATGGTAAGTGAAAGAAGCCAGTGACAAAAGGCTATATATTATAAGATTCCACTTAGATGAAACAATCAAAATAGTCAAATCCATTGAGACAGAAAGCAGACTAGAGGTTGTCTAGGGTTGGGAAGTGACTCTTAATGGGTACAGTTTCTTGTTGGGGTGATGAAAATGTCCCAAAATTGTGGTAATGATTGCACAACTCTGTGAACATGCTAAAAGTCACTGAATTATATATTTTAAATGGGTGAATTGTATGGTATGTGAATTTCTCTCAATAAAATTCTTACTAAAAAAAAAATCCAAGGGACTGGCCTGATGGCGTAGTGATTAAGTTCCTGCACTCTGCTTCGGTGGCCCAGGGTTTGTGGGTTCGGATCCTGGCGTGGACCTACACACCAATCATCAAGCCATGCTGTGGTGGCATCCCACATACAAAATAGAGAAAGACTGGCAAAGATATTAGCTCAGGGACACTCCTCCTCAAGCAAAAAGAGGAAGATTGGCAACAGGTGTTAGTTCGGGGCCAATCTTCCTCACACACACAAACATATCCAAATGCAAGACCCTCCACAACCTAGTAATCAAAGAGCTTAAATAAAAATGCCATTTATAATAATAGCACATGTAGCTATAGAGCCCTTGAAATACGGCTAGTCTGAATTGAGATGTGTTGTAAGTATAAAATACTCAGCAGATTTCAAAATACAAAATTAAGAATGTAAAATATCAACCACTTTTCATATTTCAACATTATATGTTGATAATATTTTGCATGTATTGGGTTAAATAAAATTTATTATTAAAAAGATAGTATGGAAGGGGCTGGCCCCGTGGCCAAGTGGTTGGGTTTGCGTGCTCCGCTTTGGCGGCCCAGGGTTTCACCGGTTCAGATCGTGGGTGTGGACATGGCACTGCTCATCATGCTGTGCTGAGGGGACGTCCCACATAGCACAATCAGAGGGACCTACAACTAGAATATACAACTACATATTGGGGGGCTTTAGGGAGGAGAAGAAAAAAAGATTGGCAACAGATGTTAGCTCAGGTGCCAATCTTAAAATAAACCAAAGAGAGTATGGAAGGTGCTGAAAACATTAAACATAGAATTACCACATGTCCAGCAATTCCACTTCTGGGTATTTACCCAAAAGAATTGAAAGCAGGGGCTCAAACAGATATTTGTACACCCACGTTAAAAGTAGCATAATTCACAGTAGCCAAAAGGTAGAAACAAACCAAATGTCCATCAATGGATAAATGGATAAACAAAATGTAGTATATACATACAATGGAATATTATTCAGCCTTAAAAAGAAGGAAATTCTGACACAATCTACAGCATTGATAAACTTTGAGGAAATTATGATAAGTGAAGTAAGCCGGACACAAAAGGACAAATATTGTATGATTCCACCTACATGAGCTCCTAGAGTAGTCGAATTCATAGAGACAGAAAGAAGAATGGTGGCTGCCAGGGGCTGGGTGAGGAGGGGATAGGGAGTTAGTGTTGGATGGGTGCCGAGTTTCGGTTCTGTAGGTGGACGGTGGGGATGGTTGCACAACAGTGTGAATGAACATAATGCCACTGAACGGTACACTTAAAAATGGTAAATTTTATGCACATTTTAGCACAATAAAAAATAATATGACAAAAAGTTTAAAAGAATTTTATGAGGTCTGGGGAGGCAATTGAGGGGAAAAAGTCTGACAGGGCTGCTTAGGGGAGCAATAATGAAAAAAAGGTTGAGGAACACTGAGACAGAAGTGACAGTGTGCCAGTTCTAAGCCCAGGCCTTAGGAGGCCTGCCTTATGTGTGTCTGCTTGCCCTCTTGTGCCTGTGCCCTCGCCACAAGAAGGGCACACATGGGCCAGCTCACTGTCTAAGGAGGATGACACAGATGTGGACGAGCCCCAGCCGTGCAGCCTAAAGCAGAGATCAGCCAGCCTAGATCAGCCAACCTCAGCCTGCCTGCAGCACATAAATGGGCCCAGCCGAGACGAGGAGAGTTGAACCCCACCTGACCTGCTCGTCTTTGAGAGTAAATGATTGCCGCTTTAAGCCACTGTGGCTTGTTACACAGCATTATTGCGGCCATATTTAATGATACACCCTTCTTCAGAGATTCTGAGAGCTGTTCTTACTAAAGGACAAGTTGCCATTTTAGTCATCCTGTCCCACACCTGGAAACAGCTTGAATCCTAAGGATCAGTTAGCTAAGCTCCGTTTCTGGTTCTCTCCTGAGTATTTGCTGTGTGGTCTTTGGCAAGTCAGCATGCTACACTCCTAAAATATCCCCAGCCACACAACTTGCAGGAAATCACAGGACTGTGCACCACACAAGTAAGTCAGCATGTTTACTTGCTCTGTGTGCCCTGTCCATGACATAGCAAAGAAGCTTCTGAACTCCGAAGCCGCCACTGGATGCTGGGCTAACTCACACGGGCTGTTTTACTTCTAGCTTCCATAAGCATTCTCACAACGACACGGCCACCTTTAAACAAACTTGTGTGAAAGACTGGCATGAGCAGCAAGGCACACCTGTGCTAGAGCTTGTAAATGACCACCTTTAATGTAGAACGGTTACCACCTCAGGTGGAGTGGATGTAAGACTGTGTCTCAGATTACGTTGATACCGTTAATTATTTCAAACAGACTTGCGTAGAAGTTACAAGTTCTACCACGGCAAGAGGTCACTCTCCATCAGTATAGTTCAGGCTTCCTCTGAGTTCAGGTGAAGGGTGGGCAGGAGGCAGGCTTTTGTTTCAGAATGCTTTTAGGAAGTGCTGCTTTACATCCACGGACACTAGATGTAGGATGTCAGTTCTCCAAAAGAAAGCTAGACTGAAATAGACGCTCAAGAAGGATTTAAAATAAATTTGTGGATACTCATGTCTGGTTAATATAGGAAACAAATATTGGATTATACCTAATTTTTGAGATTAGCATCATGTAGGATAGTAGTTATCTCCTATACACCAATCCAAAATACTGGGGTGGATGGGCCAATTCAATATGGCAATTCCTATGTCTTAATGTACTGGCTCATTTTCCCAAAAAGAGGGCCAAATTATATTAAGATTTTGATAGACTTAGAGCACTATTATAATAATAAATCTCACATAAGCACACAACATATACACACACAGAACATACAGATACATAGATACACATCCATCCATCCATCATAGTGGCCTTTTTTGTTCAACAAAAGCTAGTATGACAAAAAAAAGCTTAGAGGAAGGAAAATAAAACATATGGAACATTCTGGGAAGATCCTCTTCCCCTCCCATCCTCGACTACAATTACTTTGACTCCCTCCTCTTCCCCAGCTTCTGGGCCCTGCCTTTCATCAGCTCTTCTTTCCTATCCCAATGATAAGAGAAGAGAGGAGGTGATGAGCGGAGGAGGAGGAAGTGGGAAGGAAAAGAGGTAGAGAATAAGATTATAAAAGTGCCCAGAGTTGGAGTGTTTGCTGGGTCCTCCTGGGCCCTGCCTTCCCTTCCCTTCCTCCGTTCTCTGAGGCCCAAGTCCTCACCTTGGAAAAGAGGCTGAAACATCCCAGGCGGCTCACAATGCAGTAAACTTCAGGGAGACGCTTTCCTTTGCCACCAGGCTTTTGGAGTGAAACACAAGGAAATCAGGAGTGTTACCAACCTCAGGGAAGGATAGAACCCAAATGCTTTGGAGTGCCTACTGGGTGCCTGCTGTGTCCACATACCAGATCTTTGGACAACCCAATGAGGTAAGAAGTTACCAATACTCCATCTTATAGGTGGAAGGCACTCCTGGCCATGTGGTATGTATTTTTTTATTTTCCTGAAAGAACCAAATCAAGGGTGTTGCGTACACAGTAGGTGCTCAATATGGCCTATGGACCATAAGTAAGGAGGCCTAACTTGTTTACCCAAATCACTGTAGTTCCTTCTAAGGAGTTACCACATAATTCCAGATGAGAAATCATTTCTGAAAATCCTTTTTGGAAACTGAATTTAAGCTAATTTTCAAAACAAAAAAGAAAATCAATCTCAATTCTTAAACTCTAAAGTAATTTTATCAACAAAAATTAGGCCACTTAACTTTTTCAATTATTATCCATACTTTTTATTCACTAATTCAACAAATATTTATTGAACACCTATATGTGCCATGCATTATTCTTGACTCTAAACTATATTAACCTATTTCTAAGACTAAAACACATTCTCAGAGAAAATGATTTGCCATGACTGCAAATGTTCAAAAGAATGGGCCTCAAAAAGACAAGTTCTAAAATGTCTTGTCACGGTCATTTTATTGGAATAAGTTTCTGACTTTTAAAGGTGATTGTTCTGAAGGAGACACTTGAATTACTTGCATCAGGAACAATAAAACTATCCTTCTTCTGCCCTGAGCAACTATTATGAACGTTCTCTCTAAGCTATTAAAAAGCCTGTTTAGGGTAGTTTATTAGAAAGGACATTTGGCCTAAGGAGAGCAAAGTCTTTTATTTGGCAGGGAAAACAATGGAGAAAGTATTTTCTTTCCAAAGGAGACAGAGATATCGTTCCCATCTACCAGTAAGACTCAGGAGGGCCCCCCAATCCTCCATGTTTTAACTACCCTGATGACCTGCCACACCTCCTGTCCCTTCCCTCATGGTACGTGGTGAACAAAACCTTAGGACGCCAGTGCTGGCTCTGCACGGCGCTTGTGCTGACTGAGAGCACAATGTACTAACCAGCAGTCTTCGGCAGTAACCGAACCTTCTGCTCCCGTCTTCTCCAGTTAAGACAAATGAGAATGTTTCACTGTGGTTGGGAAAACAAAAGTGCATTACAAAGCAAAACAAAATGAAGGACACATTGTGGTGAGCAATCAGGAGACATTCTGGAGGAGGCTGTCGAACACGGCTGCTCCCTGTCCTGCTTGTCCGTCTCTGTGCTGGGACTCTGGTGGCCTAGAGCTTCAGAGTCTATGTCAGGGAGAGGGAGATCTGAAGTGTCACTGTGTCCCGAGAGGAAAGGGGAATTTTTTTTCATCCTGAGTTCTCATATAAGTCTGTCACCTGAGCCATCCCATTGCACAAAACAGCAGTCATTCATTGGGCATCTATTGTGGCTGCTGCTTTCACTGAGCTTGAGGGTGAGGTGGCTGATCTAGGGATGTGACTCAGTGAGGGAGCAGTCGAAGAGTGGGACAGTTCTGTACCCCTCTCAGAACTGTCCCTGGTACGGCTCTCCAGGGAAACAGTCTGTTCAGAGCCACCTTGAGGCTTAGACTATCCTTAAAGACTGCTGGGCCAACTTCAAGGAACACAGTGTCCCTCAAACACTTAGGAGTTGCAGCCTACTGAGTGTGGTCAATTGCTGAAACATCTGATAAGAAAAATGTTGGTTTCTAACAAAAAGGGTTAAAGCAGAAATGTAAACTTTCTCTACTCCGAGTAAGCGCTGGATGGGCTATTGAAGAAATGTGTCAGGAGCACTGGACAAGGATGGGTGACGGGCAATATTTCCCTGATTTTTCCTAGACCTAGAATTACCTTATTGCCCTTCATGATGGCTTATGAAACAGATATGTTTTCAGACTGAGTGGGAGGCCTTGGAATCTGCCTACTTAGCAAGGTGATTCTTATCTTCAGGGAAGTTTTAAAAACACTGGTAGGAGAAATCTCCAGGCTCAGATCCATCAGGATTGCTTAACAGTAAGATTGACTTAAAGGGTCTGCCATCTATGACCCCCTCTCTAGTTCTCGTCTTAGTCTTTAGGGGTAGGAAGGGGAGATACCAGCACATACCTGGTAAACTGCTGGACAGGAGTCCAATCCTTGGCATCGGGGAAACAGAACTGGGGGATAGCCTTCAGCTGGTCCTCAGCCTCTCTCATGAACTTGAAAGACCTTTCCAACTGCAGGGAGAAGGGCAAGAGAAGGCTGGAGAATAAACCTCTGCATAGAAGAGTGAGGCAGATGCTTGGTAAGACCCCAACTCCCATCTTCCCACAGTCGTGACCACCACCTTGACCTTCTCTCATGGGAGGGGGCTGCCGCTCAGTCTGCTGGGGCCTTTTTTTCCCCAGGCAGTTCCAACCATAGTCTTGTGGGGTAAGACAGGAGAAAAAAATAACGTGCTTTAGAGAAATGTTCTCTACATTTAACATTCTGGAATATAAGTATTTTCTTTCTTTCCTCTTTTTTTTTTTGAGGAAGATTAGCCTTGAGCTACCATCTGCCGCCAATCCTCCTCTTTTTGCTGAGGAACATTGGCCCTGAGCTAACATCCGTGTCCATCTTCCTCTACTTTATATGTGGGACGCCTGCCACAGTATGGTTGACAAGCAGTGCGTAGGTCCGCACCTGGGATCTGAACCGGCAAACCCTGGGCCGCTGAAGCGGAATGTGTGAACTTAACTACTGTGCCACTGGGCTGGCCCAGAATATGAGTATTTTAATCAAATAAGGAAATATGGTCATGGCAATCCCTTCCAAATAGGAAACTCATGAATCTGCAAGGCAGACACTCAAATTCAGTCTTCCAACCTCTGGGTCCAGGCAAGGCTGCCTCTCCTTGATCCAGGCAAAGATATTTTACAACACTTCTTAGCGAATACATCCAGTTAAATTATATTATACAGTGAAATTCAACTCATTTCAGAGTCCTTGAATGTCAGAACTAGAAGAAAACCAGACATCAGCCAGCCTGACATTCTTATTTTAGAGATAAGGAAATAAGCCCTGAGAAGTTAAGCAATTTGCCCATGATCACAAAACTAGTATGGAATCTAGCTAGAAATAAAAATGATCTTAATCTCTAGTCTGCCTGTTTTTCTGTCTCTGATTTATCTGACACATCCGAGACTGAATGAATATCATCTTACTTAAAAACAGAGCAAATTAATAAAGTCTGATTTAGAGATTTAGAAAATAAGCCAAGAGTTTGCTTATTTTGTTTATGAACAGGAACCTGTGCTTTCAAAAAGCACTCCATTCTGGGGATCTGTTGCACATCAATATGCAAGTAGTTGACAATACTGTACGGCATACCTGGAAATGTTGGGATGGTGAATTTTAGGTTATATGTGTTTTTGCCACAATTAAAAAAAAGGTACTCTAGATATAAGTTTGTGAAACAAAAAAAGCAATAGTTTATAATTAGCATAGTTTGCTTATAAATTGGTACTTCTAAAGTGTTGGGAAAAATTGTTGGCTTTTTTTTGTTGATAGGTTTCTTGATAGGTTTAAGTTTGTTAAATTTCCTATATAAACAGTTAAGGAAAAATAAATTATGCTAAAGCAACTTTTAGTAATTTAAATATCAGATACCTGAAGCAAGTGGAATCTGAATTTCTGAAGTTAGGAAATCGTAATGTCTAATCTAACTTCTTTCTGTAATATTTTCCACCAATTTCTTATTTTGTTTCTCAAAGCTTGCCACTGACCTCCACTTTAAACCAGCCTGGCAGACAGTTTCCGAAGTTTGCAGGCCAGCAGTATCATCAACCGCTTCAGAGAGGATCTTCAAGCCTTCCCAAGGCCACCAAATATCAGAGACAGGAGGTCTCCAAAGACAGTGTCCAAATGAATAAAGCCCCGTGCTGATTGTTTTCAACTTTAAAACTCACTTCCAGTATGATTCCCTTTAGGCTAGATCAAATTTAATTAAAGCTGCCAGTAATATTAATGGTTGAGACAACTATCAATGAATGAAACATGGTCACCATTTATAGACTCAAAGCCAGTCATTCATCGTCCTTTAGTTTTTCTTCTTCGGAATAAATGGTCATTATTTCTTTTCTGTATAACGGTTCTCTCTTCCATCCATGACCCAGAAGATTCCAACTGATCCTGGAACAGTTTTTGAGTTGATAATTCGCTAGCTCAGACTGTTGCCAAAGCACTAATTTTTGACTACCCTTGGAGAGCCTCACAGAGAAGCAAATACCAGCTGGGCATAGTTGTTGGAAGAAGTCATTAATCACCACCGAGTGAGGGACCCCCAACTATAAAGAATACCAAAGGAAGGACTAATGACAGCTTTCCACAGTGGAAACAGCCTTAGAGAACTAAAGAGCAGGCCTTGTAGGAAAGTGAGTTCCAGCACTTTTCAGCATCGCCCCGTTATCATTTGGATGCACCACCCTCAGATCACATGCATGATAAACACAATATGTGTGTACACACACATGCCTACACACAGTCATCAGCATATGACTTATCAAGCCACATGTGCACATACATGCATGCACGAAGCAGCACATAGAAATCTCTTACCAATACAACCAATCATAGATGGCTGGAAAGTACCCTAGTCTCCATGAACTGCCATAAAGAGAACTGTGCGACAGCAAACATTTTAATGGAACATGGCAGGCATGATCTTGTGTGTGAATATGGAGTATAAACCTTGACTAAGGTGAATGTAGGAGTGGGAGATAAAACTCATGAAAAAGAGAAAGGAGGAGGAAAAAAGGTCTTCTGACAGACAGAGTGAGTGAAGGCAAGGAGATATAAAATAGCCTGGTATGCAAAACCACATACACAGAATGATCACCATAGTATTAAAAATATGTGTCTAAAGAAACACTGGCAGCAAGATACATTTCCAACAGAAGAGTGGTTAAATAGATAGGGTATATCCACATAAGGGAGCATCGTGTAATTTAAAAAATGGTGTTTTAGAATTTGTATTAAATATGTTTATAAATAATGATAGGTTTACAAAACATGATACAAAAATTATACAATGTACAATCCCAGTTTTGTAAGAAAATTATGCTATGAGAAAAGAAAACACAACAAAATGCTAACAGTGATGATCTCTGTATAGTGGGATTTATAGACCTTTTTCTTTATATATTTCTGGATTAGTCCCCTTTTCAACAGTGACAATGCAAATTTCTACTCAAACAAAGTTTTAATGTAGATGTCTAGGAGCCTGGAGATTCTAGGCTGGAAACTACAAACATTCAATAGATAAGGTGATTCATTAATTCATGAATTAATGCCTTTATTTCTGGAACACTGATTAAGTATTGCCATGTGTGCCACTGTGCGAGGCCCTTAGGGGAGTAAACAGGATACTAGGTCAGTCCTTTGCGCCTTGGTGCACGCTCTGTGTGGTTCTCAACTAAACGGGGGCACATCCACAGCACTGGCGTTTTCAGGGGATCAGCCCCAGAGGTCAGCAGGAGGAAGGTGAATACACGCCAGTTTGGAGGGCTGCTGCTACGGTTTACTTCACTTATGTACAGTTGCCACCCTAAACTCCAAGGACAGGACTTGATTGCTGTGCTAGACCACTGTGGGCAGAATGGAAGGAAGGCTGGCCCAGGAAAGGAGCGGACAGCTGAGACCTAGGCCTTAGTACATGCTGGGTTTATGCCTCAGTGGTGGCAGCAAAGGGAGGCTCTGAGAGGACCAGAACATGAGCTCCCCCCTCTCTTCCCACCTCTGAGCATCCTCATTGTATGAACTGAAGGAAGAGTGTCACGTTCTACCTTGTGAGTCATTATATGCTTACCTTATGCCCTCCTGTCAGAGTGTAAGCTCCCTGAGGACAGGAAACACATCTTGCTCAACTTTGTAATCCCCAAGGACCAAGAAGAAAACAGCTTGAATGTAATAGGATCTCAGTAAATTCTGGTTGAACTGAATTAGAATGTGGTGAAACATCTTTAATATTGATGTCAAAGCCTGAGAATAATTTACATACTATTGGCCATGCCATTTTAGGCTTTATTGAATGCCATTTCATTTTAGCTGCCATGATTTAATATATGGTAAGCCAAATCCACATAGCCAAGAACCATGTTAGAATAGAATAGGATTCTCATGCACGCACACATACACCGTACAGTGCATGTACAGATGTTTAGCATGGACACAAACATGACACCCCTTAGGCAGAGCTGTGTGGCTTGACAGGAAAGAGGTTTCTAGGATAGGCTGGGAAGAGATGTGGCTGGATAAGGAGACTCGGAGGACGAAGAGGATGGTACGGTCAGCATAGTGACTGACCACAGGAAATGAGTAAGTATTTTTGTCCATACTTTGAGTCCTTGAATCTCACTTCCTGGGACCTCCCAAATTCTCCAGCAGCAGTGTTTTCCATTTGATATACCCTAATTAGGACCCATTTTTGAGATTCTAGCCACTAAGCTTTCCTCAGACTCCCACACCTCCCTGAAACCACGAGCTCCACCAAGATTTTGGCAAGAATGCCGTAGTAGTCCCCTGGTAGGCTGCAGAGGCCTGGCCCGCCCTGTACCTTCAGAGGGAACTGCTGGGTGAGTTCTGGCACATACGCAGCCCCGGCCTGCTTCTTGTGCAATGACACGACCACAAAGTACTCGAAGAGCTGCCTCTCCTGGTACTCGATGAGCTCCCGGTCTAGTGACGGGTATCTTGGAGCCTGCTTCAGGCGTGACTTCACATTGACCAGGCGTTGGCTATGAGCTGGAGACAGAGAGAGCGAGTCTGAAAATGACTCACTTTCCAATGTGGAATTGCACAGAACTACAACAGGCTGTGTAATTCTCAGCTCAAGTACTTTTTCTAATCCTAAAAAAGTGTCCCACATTTAACATATTAATACAAAACTCTTTATTTGGGATCCTTGCCAAAGTTCTGTGAGGAGCAACATTTGACAGGCTGCTAGGCTAATTGGGGTGCAGGAGCCTGGAATGTGGGGCGTCTGCTCCTCCATGAATTTGCTGTCTGGACCTGGGGCAGTGGCTCAAGAAGTCCTTACCTTCTTCTGTCAGATGGGGAGGGGACACTGATTCCTTCCTTCACTCATTTCCTTCATCTTTCAGTTTGTGGGATGTGAAAAAATCCAGACCTAAAGAGCTTTTGGAGCTGGGAGCTTTGTAAACACCCCACGTGACTCAGCTGGCAGTGACCTAACTCTGGAACTCCCAGGGACCTTCTCTCCTGCCACCATTTGATGCAATGGACGTGGACTTGCTTCATTCTAGAGGCCGCTGGGGAGAAGTGAGGCATTAGAGGTGAACGAGGCAGGGCCAGTGAGGGTGGGTGTCCCATCACGGGATCCCCATCCCGGAGTCTGAGAGATTGTGCGAAACTCACTACAGCCTAGACCTACATCACCAAGTTTAGAGCCACAAGGACCAATTATTTCAGCAACTTCTTTTGACAGATGAGGAACTAGGGGCCCTGAAATCTTAAGGGATTTCCTCCAGATCATATAGCAATTTTAATAGGAATGGGCAAGAGCCCCAGGTCTCAGGAGTCCCTGGCCAGCAGTGATGTACCTTACATAGGTAAGGAAAACACCTATGACATAACTGGAGGACATGGGAACAGGGGTGTGCTGCAGGGTAGCCACTCTGGGTCTCCAGGTGGAGCGCTAGGCTTGGTGAACGACCAGGCCCATTCTGGTCATGCTCAGGACTGTCGTTCCTGAGACAGCCGCACACCGCCCCCCACACCGGTCCCCATCCCCTCAGACATCCACGCCTTGCCTAACAAGCTTGCCCAAGGAGGCTTCTGTCTCGTCCATTACACTAAGCAGGAAGGGCCATCCTTGTAGCTTCCTAGTCACCTGCATGCACCCTGCACAGCAACTGCTCTTCTCACCTTTCAGCTTCTCCTCGGTGTCACTGTCAGATTCACTGTTCTCATCTGTCACTAGACCAAAAAAAAAAAAAATGTTGCAAATGTGAGTTCGAATGCAGGAAACTTTTTCCATGCGGTAACACAAATCAAAGATTTCTAGTTCAGAGGGGGTGTTTTCTTTTTGTCTATTTAAAAAAAAATGGACAAACCATGTCATTTGTCCAACTAAATGTATTTCCAAATTAATTTGGTTCTAGTTCAGATGGTACCTATATTAAAAATTACAGCAAAAGATACTGGCCCCTTTTATGCATGCTGAGCAAAGGAGATTGTGCCCATGGTGAGGTCAGCGCATGCAGCACTGGACTGACTTGATGGATGGACAGGGAAAGAGGCCCAGAAGACATGCCACCAGGCTGGGCTCTGGGCTCTTCAACTGGCCCGAGGACAGTGGGAGACATTTAAAGCACCAACTTGTTGTCCTCCTTAGTGAGCCGACTCCGAACAACAGGAAGCCACTTGCAGGAAGAATGTGTTTTCAGATTCTTGTGGGGGGTCCTACCTTTTCCTGAGTTGCTCTCTGTTGACTGGGACAGCCTCTTCACCCGCTTCTTTCCTCTCCGTGCCTCATAAACGGCATTGATTCGCAATACAAGCTGCCAGATACCAGAAGACAAGCCAGTGTTAGCAGCCTCCTCCCCACGTGCAGCTGGGATTCCTCCGCTGCCCGTTTGCTGCTAGGATGATGGAGGGCCAGGGAAACAGGGCTGGAGGAGACATCTCCCACCAGCCTACCGGTGTCTTTCAATCACTCTTTTCTGTCAGATGGGAACATGGCTGTCAAGAACACTAAAGGAGGCTGCCAGCCTCACTGATGTGTGGGCGGGTGTTGTCTAAATATGCTAACACATCCAGCTGAGACACAGAGGGAGAAGATTTCATTGGCTAATGGTGCGATGGCTGCTCTCGTGTGATACAGCGATGTCCCTGTGGTTTGGGAAGGAGCTTTTGCTCCCAAAACAAAAGAAAAGAGAGACACCAAAAAAAAAAAAAAAAAAATGTTCCCAGGCAGAGCCCCTTCCATGGGAACCATGCCAAGGAACGTCTGAGAAGCCCCGAGTGGGAAGGGAGCAGGGATTACGGTGGATCTTGAGTCCTAGCTGGAGACTGCATGGAGTGGTGCCATGTACCCGACACGCTGCCCTTTCCACAGAGGAGCACTCACTCCAGACTTGCTGGGGCCTTTCACGACCTCTCCTCGTGCCAAGTCAACAGACACCACTACTCAGAGGCACATTTTCCAGCTGACTATGGCAGAACAGTCTGGTGATGGAAGCCCTGGGTTACTTCCCACCAGGATTCACAGCACCCCCTGCAACTGTCAAAGGTGGGAGCTTCCTGGGTTCCACCAAGTTGGGAGAAAGGCAAGTCTACCCATGCACAGTTGAGGCAAACTAGCGATTTTAAAGGGGAACTGTGTTTTTAAGCTGACTTGAAAAGTTTTACGTTATTTTATGCATTGGGAAGAACAGAAGAAGGGATGTGCTACGGTAAACTGGATGGTAGGTACCCAGGTGGGTGCAGTGGACAAGGTGTTGCCAATCCCCATCTCTGCCCTCCACTCCTCTGATCCCCTCCCCAACATAGCTCACTAGCTCCTCTTCACAAGCTGGAGCACTGGCCCGCCCAGAGAGGAGGGTAGCTTATTCTCAAGGTCTCCTTGTGGTGGGCCTGGGCCCTGTCCCTCTGGCTCTGCAGACTGTTACTGACACTGCCCTGCCGTATCTCGGACACCTGCGCACTCTGGCTCCTAATGGGCGGCCCGGCCCTGGCTGTGCCTGCTCTCTTTGTGAACTCCCCATCTCTAACCATGAATCTAACCTGAACGAGGTCTCTGCTTTCACCACCAAATCCCTGCCATGTGGCATTTATATTTGCTCTTACAAACCCCCCTTTTCCTTCAGAGCTCACGTCCCTGAACCGGCCTTCTCGTCTTTTTGCATGTGTTCTAACCATTGGGATATTAATGCTAACCCCATTTCCCCTGGAAGAAGACACCATATAAATGAGTTGCTAGTATTCACAACAGCCAAGATGTGGAAACAACCCAAATGTCCATCAATGGATGAACGGATAAACAAAATGTGATACATATATATAATGGAATACTATTCAGCCTTAAAAAGGAAGGAAATCCTGTCATATGCTCCAACATAGATGAACCTTGAGGACATTATATGAAGTGAGATAAGCCAGTCCCCAAAAAACAAATACTGTATGATTCCATTTATGGGAGGTACCTAGAATACGCAAATTCATAGAGATGGAAAGTGAAACGGTGGTTGCCAGGGGCTGGGGTAGAGGAAATGGGGAGTTAGTGTTTAACGGGTGCACAGTTTCAGCTGGGGAGATGAAAAAGTTCTGGAGATGGATGATGGTGATGGTTGTGCAACAATGTGAATCTACTTAATGCCACTGAATCGCACACTTAAAAATGGTTGACATGGTAAATTAGATGTGTATTTTACCACAATTTAAAAAACATAAATAAACAAATGAGTTCCTAGGTCAAAGTGCTTTTTGGGGAGAAAGAAATCTTTAAACTCATTCAAAATCTCCCCCCAAAATATCTAAAAATAACTAGAAAGAAGACAGTTACCATAGTTAACATCCTTCTGTTTATTCAACTACAATGAACACTAGACTGTGAGCTTCGGGGGCAGGGATTTTTGTCACTTTTGTTTACTGCTGTAACAGTACCCGTACGGGATAGAACAGTGCCTGGCACACAGGAGGTACTCAATAAATATTTGTTGGTTGTGAATTTGTTGAATGAATACTAAGCATCTCCTATGTGCAAGGGATTTTGCTAGAAGCCGTGGGGGATAAGAAGACAGATGGACATGGCACTCCTTCTCAGGGCATTTACAAGCTAACAGGGAGGGCCAAGAAGCATTTGTAACTATCACACAAGACCATTCATGAGCGCTATGTGAGTAGCAGCGAGAATGTGACAGAGAAGGGTTTTCTCACTTTAAATCAGGTTATGGAATATGTGGGAAGCCATATATACTTCAGCCAATAAATCTTCGTTCCTTTTTATTTAAAAAAATTTTCCCCAGAGAGAAAAACTTTAAACATGCTTTCACATAATTGTACTTTAACAGGAAATAAGTTTTGTTCTTTTAAAAGTGTTCTGTACTAGACGCATTGGCCTTTTTAGAAACTTATTTTTAAGTTGAAAAAAATATTTTTAACTATAAGCTCATTTGGAAGATAGTCTGTTTCAAGCATGGGGACTATCATTAATAATATTGTATTGCATATTTGAAAATTGATAAGAGAATAAATCTTAAAAGTTCTCATCACAAGAAAAATTTTTGTAACTAAGTATGGTGACGGATGCTAACTAGAGTAATTGTGGTGATCATTTCGCAATATACACAAATATCGAATCATTATGTGTATACCTGAAACTAATATACTGTATGCCAATTAAACCTCAATTTAGAATGAAAAGAAAGATAGTCTGTTTCAGACAAAGAATCATCTGGTATCTAATTCCGCCTGTGGTGTTGCTGAAGAAAAGCAATGGATTTCACACAGACCTGCTAAAGCGCGCTGAGAAAGGCAGGAAGCGAGACAGCGCAGCAGCCGCTTCCCACTATAAAAGATGTCTCAGTGTTTCATGAACCCTGAGGACAGCACACTGCTGGTGATTAACAGCTCTGCTTCAGTTGCCAGATTAGTGAAAGTACACAGTTGCTAGAAAAACACAGAGAAGGGCTGTCTTGTCCTTTCTCCTCTCCCCCACTGGGACCCTGACTCCTCTCAGAGCTGAAGCAGGGAGAGAGCAAGGGAAACATCCACATGGCCAGAAGGGACACTTACAGTAGAGGCAGCTTAAGGAAAACCAGGCAACCCATTGTCTGACGAGCTGTGATTAGACCATTAAATCCTCCTTGCTAGATAAAAACACACAAGCAAGGTTTGGATAGCAAATGGTTTGGGGTTCCAGAACATAAAGTCATGAAGGTACCCAGTAAAGAAGCTTTGACTTCAAGTAAAGGATTCAGAGCATTTTGAAAGAAAGAAACACAGTACTCAAGAGTGGGGATAAACCAGGGTTAAGATTAAGGAACAAGTGACAAAACTGAGGATTAATGAGACTAATGGTAATTAGTGATTTGCTTTCTTTTCAAACATTTCTTTAAAGAATTGTGTATTTTATCTTTATGATTAAAGTTTTAATAAGATTTTGTTGTTGTTGTAAAAGTGACAGATAAAACATGCTGATTTTTCTCTTGGTTTGGTTATGCCTGGCAAAACCTATTTGCTAAGGCCACTGTGTATTACTTAAGCGGTGGCAACTCACTTTAATTCCAGGCAATAAACTGAAAGGGATAGACTGCTGAATGTGCAGACACAACACATATACAGAAACAGAGTTCCACCTTTCTCGTCACCTCTCTACTTTCACACAAAACGCGCACATATATTCTTTTTCCCTTAATCTAAAAAAATCTTTCAAAAATATTTACATAGTATAAGGGCAGTGATGGGCGAAAGTGTGGGGGCCGGAGATAGAGGTTCAATGCTTAGTAAGGGATCACACACTCAAACTTCGAATTGTATCAAAGCTCTTTTAACCTAACAGCTAATTCATTTGATGATTCCTGTTTAACTTGCTAAAATAATAGTGAGGCTGTATAGACGTTAATAGCCACCTTCATTCTTCTACAACTGTAGGTTTTCGACATTACACACACGTATGAACCATGCCAGAACAAGCAGATGGGGAGTTAAGGGAGTGGCTTGAGAACTCACTGTGGGGTCCTCATGAGCAGCTATAATGACAGTGCAGGACAGTGACTAGAAGGCAGCCAAAGGGAGATACGGGAGTGACTCTGCCAGGACAGAAAGAGACTGGGGTCCACGTGTTAGAGGGAGCTCAGTCAGCAAACTTCCAATAATCGCTAAGCAACCCGCACTGCGCCCTGGGCAGGGCAAGGAAGAACCAGGGCAGCATGGAGGGAATGAGGCCTGGCTCCCACCTTGGCCCCTCTCTGCTCTCCATCCACAAAACAAGGCTTGTTCCACTTACAACCCCCACCAGAGTTTTAGGTCTTTTCCCAACCACCTGACCCTAACGGCCCTTACCCTTCAGAATGCATTCTGATGCTCAAGGTAACTTAAATTCACTTGAATAAGAAGGTTGGGGGCAGAGGTGGTGAAGCTCAAAACACTGATTAACCAAACGGTGTCAGGAGGAACCAGCTTGTGAAGATGTCCCTTGACTTGTTTTCAGGTCAATGGGCCACTTTGAGAAATCTGATGAAATCCTATATGCAGTCTCCTCGCCTTCCTCCCATCCCCCTAAATCCATCCACATAAGGTTATACACAATTTTATGGGTTTCGTGACCCCCCTAAAGCCCATCTTGGACTCTGAAAGTAAGAATCCCTGCTCTAAAACTTCCTGTACCAAACTGGCCAATAAAGAACGAGCGGCACTGCAGGGCTGGAACCGGGCAAAAGGCCATTTAATCACTAGCAGACACACAAGGATGCATATCCAAGCCACTGGGCACATTTCACCTTTGGGACTGAAAAGAGCCTGGAAATTATATTTTTGACAAGTACTTCCTCAGAGCACAGGCTCCACATGGACCTCTGCAGCGGGCACTGACAGAGTCTGAGTTAGAGCACGATGGATAGAACTCTACTTTTTGAGGCCATGAATGAGGAGGACGTGGCCTTTGGAGCCTGGGCATTGGAAACACAGTCTAGGATCAGAAGAGGAGATTAGGCTGGGAGAAGGCTGACTAAGAGGAAGGCTACAGGACCACAAGAATTATTATGACAAAGGCCTGGACATCCGAGCCTGCTGGCTTTCCCCTGGCCTGAGACGAAGCAGGCAGACAAGGGCCCAGTGATTGGTTCTCTGCCCAGGCTCCTCTGCAGCCTTCCTCTGCAGGGCAGGGGGAGTATATATCTGAACACGAAGCTGGTTGCAAGCCTTACCTTGGGTATCTTTCTCTTCTTCCTGCCATTCTGTGGATCTCCAAGGTTGAAGAAAGTGTCATCAGGGCTGCTGGGAGTGGACGGGGGGCTGATTTTGTAAGGGGACCCAGTTCCATCCCGACTCAGCTTCCTAGTGTCCAGCAGTTTGAAGTTCCTCCTCTCTGAATTTTGCCGGAAAAAAGCAGGTTTGGACAATGACTGCTGTGAAGGGAAGTGAGAAAAGAAGAGTAAATAACTACAGAGGGACTAACTGGGAGATACTGGTGGTGCCAGTGCCGGAGGCCATGAGGTTGAGAAGGGAAGCGGTCTACGTTCCCAGGGTATGTTGAGTTTACCTACACTAGTAAGTGCTCAGTAAACATCATCTAATTATGGAAAATTAGTATGACATAACATGTAGAACTAATTCATCTCTCTTTTTGGATAAGTGGGAATTCACCTGGCTCAACCTCTTACCTTTATGGATGAGGCTTTCTAGTAATCCAAGACATGCTGGACTGGGAGTTACAAGACCTGAGCCTAGCTTTGACCCTACTGCTGGCAAGCTGCATGTCCCCTACACAAGGAAGTCACCTCTCTGGGCTTTAGGGTCTTATTCTAAAAGTGAGGTGCTTTAAGGTCAAAGGCAAACAAAAAAGTGGTAAAAACAATTTACAACTTACAACATAGAAAAGATATACTGCAAATTAATGAGAAAAAGACTAACAATTCAAAAGAAAAACTGGCAGAAGGTAAGAATATAGAGAGTTTATAGAAAGGGAGATACACTGGTTCTTAGATATATAAAAAGATTCTTAGCTTCACTCATAAGAGAAAAGAAAATTAAGACTCCACTGAAGAAATATTTTTTACTCAAAGATTGGCAAAGATAAAAAATTTGATAACTCACTGTGTTAGTGAAAGTAAGGGGAAAATGTGACTTTCACACTTTCATATACAGTTGCTGGGACTAAAACTTGGTGGGTCTGGAAATTGGTCCAACTCTAAGGGGGGCAATCTAGCAGTACCAACAAAATTACAAAGGCATATACCCTTTGATCCAGCAAGCCCACCTCTAGGAATTTACCCTACTGATATACTCATACTTGTGCAAAGTTATATCGTATAAGGAAAGTTACATCGTGCAAAGTATATTGAATACTGTCACGCCTTTTAAACACAAAATATATCCATTAGTAGAGGCTGGTCAAATAAATTATGGTACATCCATCCAGTAGAATACAATGCAGGTGTAAAAAAAACCTCAATGTACTGATATGGAAGCTTCTTTCAGATACATATTGTTAAGCATAAAAAGCAAGGTGTAGAATAATTGATACAGTATGCTGATATTTGTGTGTGTTTGTGTGTGTGTTTTAAGGAGCTATTCTGCTGGTATATGCGTAGGAGAGTTCTGGAAGGATACACAAGAAACTGACAGTGGTTGCTCTAGGAGAGAGAAATAGAGGGACGTGGTGAGAGGAAGACTTTTCACTAAATACCTTTCATACTCCTTAAATTTTGAACTATATGAATGTATTAACTATTCACTAAAATAAGAAATATTGATAAAATAAAAGAACTACTTGGACTATATGTTTTCTAAAGGTACATCCAGGACTCACATTTTACATACTATAAATATAGATGTAAAGTCTCTTTTTCAAAGTTAATTACTGAATTAGACGAGGTACGGGTGCATAAAGCACCTAGCAGAGTGCCTGGGATACACTAGACATTCAATGTAAGTTATTTCTCTTCCTTCCTCTTATGACATTGACATTTTTCACACTTTGATGTGCTAACTGAATTTTTCTCAAGTATATTGTTTATGTTCTTCGCCTATTTATCTTTTGGGATCTTAGCGTCTTTCTTATGAATTTGGATGAGCTCTCTAGACGGAACAGATATGAACTATTTGTCAGTTTTGCTGCAGGTGTGTTTTTCTGTGTGGTTTGTTTGTATTTTTATCTTGGTTATGTGGAATTTTTCACATAACATTTTTATATATGAAAATCTGCTCACCGTTTCCTTTGTGAGTGATTTCATCTTTGCCTAGAAAATCTATATCTTCTTAGGGGTTTAATAAATATTTAATTCCATGTTCTTCTTTTATTAGTTTATTTTGAACATGTTTTATTCATTAATCCATCAGTAAGTTATTTTATTGTATGTTACTCTAAATTGATTTTTTCCAAGCTAATATATTTCTATTCCATTTAATGAATGAGCCTTTCTTTCTCTATCAACAAGCCCACATTTACAATATCTTAAACTCTCATAGGATAGTCTTATTTTGTGCCAGTCATTTATATATTCTTGTTTAGTTCCAAGGAGTTTGTAACAATAACTTTGGAGCCTTTTTAAAGACTTCCAGGAATAAAGACTTCTAGCCTTCTAAGTGGCCTGATCCAATGTTGTATCGTGGGCCCACAGGGAGCAACTGCTTAGTACCACAAGCCCCGAGAAGAAGCAGCCAACATGGTTTGCTCACTGTGGGCATCCTAATAATTAAACTGGCACAAGAAGAAGGAATAACGATGACCCTTCTTAAAGACCAAATTCTATTTGCAATGAAGTCCAAGGAAATGGCTCCAATTCTTTCACTGCATTGGAATCTCACCAAATTGTTGGCAAAAAGCAGGTATCTGTTTTCATTAGAGATTTAGATTGTGATAGTGTTTGTTCAACTATTTTACCTATGAAAAGTTCTGAGAAGAAAGAAAACAGAGAAGGAAGCAAAACACGGCACACAACTTTCTAAAGGGTGTCAAGAGACCTGGTGGAGGTTGTGCAGGGGCTGCATCTCCCAGTGGTCACACTGCTGGAGAAAGGGGCTCTGGGAATGTTCTGGAGCGCCCAAAATAAGCCACCAAATGTCCAGGGAGCTTTCATGAGGGAGTGGAATTTCAGTAGCTACTTAACTGATAAAAGGAGAAGACTTAGTGGGCTGTGGGGAGAGCATTATCAAGCATACAGCACAATCTCAGAAGAGGCACAGAGGTGACGAAGGCCCATTTGACCCAAGTCGTCGCGGCTTTGAGTAGGTGCAGTGAAATAGATAGAAGAGACAACAAAACAATGAAGACACCTAATTGTCTGGAAGGACTTTGATAGTGAGGGTATGAATCTTGGAATCTTAGCAGGGGTCAGCAAGCTTTTTCTTTAAGGCCAGACAAGTAAAAATTTTAGGTTTTGTGGCCCATACTCTCTCTGTCACAACTCTCAACTCTGCCATTATAGTACAAAAGCAGCCATGGACAATACGTAAACGAGTGAGCATGGTTACGTTCCAATAAAAGTTGATTTATAAAATATCAGGTGACCAGTAGTTTGCCAAACCTGAACTACAGTATAACAGGGGAGTCACTACAGGACCCTATGGATGACTGTGTCAGCCTGTGGTCCAGAGAAGATTCCAGCTTTTGATCAGAGAGCCTCACCAACATGCCCTGATGATAACACGCCCAGTCGCACTGCGTCTCTATGGAGTAACCTCTGGGGCCCAGCTCTGTCACAGAGGCTCACAGAGTCTCCCTAATCTTAGAGATACTGGATTCACAACGGACACAACCAAAGATCTGTAGTGTCCAAGAGTGGAAAAGCGGACAAAGACCTTCTGTTGAAGCCTCTGGAGTTATTTCAGGAGACCAAGTGTGATGGGCCCTGGCCAGGGGACATCTTGGTGGGGACGAAGAGGCTGCAAGGAAGCTGCGTGCCTCCCCAGAGGGAAATGACCTGGACTCAAGCGGGGGGTTGAGTCACCCTTCTTATCTGTGAATGGTAGCGCTCTCCTGTCCTCTACTGTCCCTATCCTACTGCCTCAAGAGACACTGACAGCCGGAGACTAAAAAGGTCCTTAATATAAAATATCCCATCTTCTCCTTACCTGTCTCAACCTCATTCCTATTCTCTTCTACAGAGGCCTCCTCCAAGAAGTACTCAGATATCTTTCACACAAACGTACACATTTGTTCATTATGCCCACAGGTACACATATTTATGTAAATACACAGACACTCCCTTAAATATACATATATAGAAATATAGAGACAGGCATACACACACATTCCAACAATTGGGACATTACACTAAAATGATGGAAAATCATGCAGGCAATAAAATTGTATTTAAAAAGAAATTAATGACATGGAGAAATATTCATGATAAATAAAAAAGAACAGCAAAACTGTTTAACAATATCATCCCAAATCTTTTTTTTATACACACAGATGCACAAACACACACACACAAACATACAGTGTGAGGCAGCCTGTATGAGAAATAAACCAGTGTTAACAGTGGTTATCTTTAGGTGTTGGGATTACATGCAACTTTTAAAAAGACCTTTAAAGCACACACACACATATACACACAGACACAATAACAATCTATTACAGAAAAAAATACAGGTGAGCATAAAGAAAAAATTAAAACCCTCAATTATGGATGTTTTATTTTCTTCATTACACTTTTCGGTATTTCTAAATTTTTTACGAGAATGTTCTATTTTCAGAAAATAAGGTTATTTTTTAAAAGAACACATACTGAAAGGCATAATTCTATATATTTAACAAACATAAATAAATAGTACTTATGTTGCAGGCACTAGTCTAAGTGGGCTACAAGTGTTAACAAGAAAAGAAAACGGCCCCTTCTCGGGAGCTTGCATTGCGCGTTTCTAAGCATTAGCATCTGCCCTGGATGCGTGTCTACTCCCTTCTGAGGAAAGTCTGTCTCACTGACCCTTACCTCTCTACTGGGACCAGGCACGATGTAATGAAATGAAAATCCCCAAAGAAGTCTTAGGACCTTTCTGTGGCTGGCAGAGACAGTTGCCACAGAGGGACTGCTTCAGCAAGCTCTAAGGTCCCAGATGCAGCCCACATGTGGCAGATGCTCCAGGAACATTTGCTGAGCTAAACAGAGGAAGCGGAGAAGTCCACTGCTGTCCCTCAGAGTGGGAGCACAAACCAGACACCCAGAGGTGGCAGAGCAGAGGAACAAGCATGGACACAGAGTCTTGCTGATGACGTGCAAAGGTCCAAAACAGCCTAGAAGTATCAGAAGCAATCAGACACGTGCACTGGGCCACTGGATTATCTTTCTGCAGGATAGCTGCCTCTGGACTTCAAGATCCCATTGACCTGATTACCTACTATGTTTAGCTGTTTTGGAGACAGAGGACCTAGGATTTCTCTAGCCTGGCAGGAAGGGGAAGAAAAGGGCTGTGGAGCCTTTGTTTTCTGGAATTAGGGAGGAGCAACTGGCTCTGAATGCAGCGCTGATTTGGGCAGATGTTTTTCATTGTTCCTAAGAGGTGACGTAGTGTACTCCCCACATGAAGTGGAGAGCGGGGTAGGACGTGAAGGGGACAGACTTGGGGTGACAGCCTTCCATCTTCTTCTAAGCCAGGCTTATCCATTAAATGTTAAAGACATCCATATTTCAATGGGAACAAAAACAACACATTTCAAAGACAAGTAGAAACTATTTTCTAATTACCAGTTGTCATGGATAATCATGATGACACTCCTGCAGAGGAGAAAACAGCAGTTAATTGGTTTCGGTCAGTATTGTAGCAATTGACCTGGGCTGGTAAGATCCACCCTACAAGATAGGTTCTACCTTCAATTCTCTTCAGGAAGACTGCTGGCAGAACGAGTCCCTTTGTGACCCCCATCAAGCACAAAAGGCACGCTTCGTGTCCGGAATCCCCCAGCCGCCAGCAAATGCTGACCTCACACGGAGCCCAGAGAGGAAGGTGGCTTCTTTTCTCAGGCTGGAAACAGATCCTCGCAATGGGATTCAAATGGACTCTTGCAGCCTGAATTTGGCCTTCTTTTATTTAATTTCTTCCACAACTAAACATTGTATAACAACTACTTATAGGAGACACAAACAGAATATATCCTTTCTGACCTTGAAGAATTTACAATCTAGTTGGGGAGCTATTTTTAAGACATACAGTCATGTGCCGCATAACGATGTTTTGGTCAACATGGACCACATATACGATGGTGGTCCCATAAGATTAGTACCATATAGCCTAGGTGTGTATTAGGCTATACTGTCCAGGTTTGTGTAAGTTCGCACAATGACAAAATCACCTAATGATAAATTTCTCAGAATGGGTATCCGTCGTTATGCAATGCACGACTGTATCATATGACTTACATGCGAATCCAAATCATGGAAGTAAGAGATGTCATAAGGCAACTTACACAATTTGGTGTGAAAAGAATTCTTAGCCCACTGAGGCAAGGAGGGGGGAAAAATCCCAGGGGCTGGGAGGGCCTGTAAGCTTCCTGAAGGAGACATGACTAAGCTGGGCCTTAAAGGATGGGAGGAGCCAAGGGCAGAGGTGGAAATGACCTAGCGCGGGAGTGTGCAAATTACAGCCTGTGGGCCTCATCTCGCCCACCACCTGTTTTTGTACAGGCCATGAGCTAAGAATAGGTTATACATTTTTTAAATGGCTGAAAAAATAATATTTCATGACACATGAGAATTATAAAAAATTCAAATTTCAGTGTCCATAAATAAAGTTTTGTTGGAACACAGCCACACTGATTTGTTTGCATATTGCCTATCTGCTCTGCACTACGATGGCAGCGCTGAGTAGTGACAACATAAACTGTATCTTTACTCTCTGGCCGATCCCAGGCCTATAGTATTAGAGGGGCAGTCAGCAGGCTTTGGCTGAAGGGGAGCTTTTGTACGCAGGGAGTGTGGGAAATTAGGTACTAATGAGTACCCAGGGATCAATTATGGAGGATACTTAATGCTAAGCTAAGGAATAGGAACTCAGTCCTGTAGGCAATGGGTTGAAATTATCATGTATGTGAATACAGTTATATTGTCTACATACATATAGTACAAAAGTCCAAAAGGTTCAAAGGATATTCTGCAAAAAAAGTCAGTCTTCTACCCTGACTTCCAGGTACTCAGATACTCAGACAACCCCACAGAGGTGCCCACTTACTCACTCTTAGTATCTTCACAGAGATATTCTTCTATGTGCCCAAACATATATGAGCTTACAAAAGTGTATATTCTTTCATTAAAAACCCCACAAATGGTGGCATAGTATAAAAATACTATTTCCGCACCATGCCTTTCAGTCTTACATTTTAGAGTTTGTTTTATGTCAGACATTCTTCTTTACAGCTGAATGATACGGATATACTATCTTATTCACCTAGTCGGGGAGGGTTCTGACCCAGAAGCTAAAGTGATACTTTAGGAAGCTTTGTTGAGCAGAGGGGTTCCGGGAGAACCAGAGGCAGGAAGAGCAGGCAGGCAGCTGATGGACAAATCCAGGAGCCTGGCAGTGAGGGTGGCCTGGCATTCCAGTGTAACCCAGAACTCCAGGCTGCACAAGACCACAGCGCTGGGGAGCACCCCCCCACCCCCCAGACCCCCCCGCCGGGACTCATACCTTGGTGGGCGTGTCAGGGATGGAAGAGGTGGGAGAACCTGGAAAGTTCAAGACACACTTCTTCCCCAGGCAGCGACCATGTAATTCAACATCCTCATAAGGGTTTTCCTTCACTGGGGGATCTGTGGTCAAAGACAATGGGTCAGAAACTGGAAACGTTAAGAAAGTTTTCCTTACTGGATCTCTACCCAACATGTTGGCCTCTCGTTGTGGAGATGTCTGTTGTCTTGCTATCCATTTACCTTGATTTTCACTGTGGTAACTCCCTGTGTCCCCATTCTTAGACTTAGTATGAGATTAACTCCGCCCTCAGTTTCATGGCTTTAGCCAGTTGAGTATCCTGAACCCCTGCCTCAGTGAGCAGTTCTGGGAAGGCCTCACATCCCAAGCCTAAGCCAGTCACGGCATGGCACTCCTGGGCACTGAAGGTGAACAAGGGGCCTAAACTGGTCCAGTCAGAGCCTCAGGATTTTTGCTGGGACTTGCTGGACATAGGCTCTCCCCGACAAGGTACGGATTCCAGGGAGCTGATGGCAGCCATCCCAGGAAACCTACTGAGAATGGAGCTAACCTGAGAGAGAGGAAATGAAGACAACAAAACCAGTTCTGGTCACATGAGTCAACAAACTCATTTCTGCCTCTTACCAGCGCATTTCTTCCCCTACTCCCGCTCCCACCCCCAACATGTGCAGACTCTGGTCTGAGCTTACACCTCACTGAAACTGATCTTCCCAGAAGATTATTTAACTTACCAAATTTAAATGCTTTATACAAACTCTGTGACTCTAAGCCCTACTTTGGAATCAGAGAGAATTCTTTAGAGCTAGGCTAAAGTTACTTTTTTAATAGTAGACATTCATTTTAGTCTGAATTTTGATGCCTTCTTACCACCACACTCCTACAGTTTCAGAAAGAGTAGGGTGGTCTTTAGTTTCCTATCATTCAGCAATCCCTATGATTTACTGAACATCTGTTATAAACAAGATATTTCGCACGCCATTTTCTCCAGTCCTCAAACAACCCTGCAAGGGAGCTATCATCACCCTTAGTATACTGATGAGAGAATTGAAGTTCAGAGACGTTAAGTCATCGGCTCAATGTCATCCAGCTAATAAGTAACAGAGCCAAGATTCCATCATGGCTACAGAGGCTCCAGGTCCATGTGTGTCCCGCTGCACCACGCTGCCTCCATGGCTGTTCGTCACTAGTGCTTCTCCTCCCCTGCAGCCCCACTGTCGCTCACATCTTCCACTCACCCACTGCTTTCTCATTTATTTGACTACATGTATGTCTTTGCGTGTTTGTGTGTGTGTTTCAAGCAGCCAGCCCCATTTCCTCTCCGCTTTCTCACAGACACACATATACCTGTTCACAGATACATGGCCTCTTACCCAGAATGTCTTCATAGACGTTCTCCTCCGATAAAGTGCGTGTGAGCCCCAACTTGGTCTGTGCATACCAGTCCACCCTGCTGTTCTCAGAGGAAGACTGCAGTAAGTCTTCAAACTCATAGGACTTTCTGGGTTGTACAAGATGGGACGGAAAAAAACAAGAACTTGAATCAAATTAGGCTGGTTCAGAGATTACACACCAAAAAAATTATTTTTCTTGCAATAATATCTATAACTGAAATCAACTATGTTTTTTGCAAGAAGGTACAAAAATCCTTGAATAAGAGATGTGGCTTTTGGGGCTGGCCCCGTGGCCAAGTGGTTAAGTTCGCGCACTCCGCTGCAGGCGGCCCAGTGTTTCGTCAGTTCGAATCCTGGACACGGACATGGCACTGCTCATCAAACCACGCTGAGGCAGCGTCCCACATGCCACAAATGGAAGGACCCACAATGAAGAATATACAACTATGTACTGGGGGGCTTTGGGGAGAAAAAGGAAAAAAATAAAATCTTTAAAAAAAAAAAAAAAGAGCTGTGGCTTTTACTTAAACCAAGTAAAGACAGTATACAAATAAAATACAGTCCCAGCTTTGTAAACAAACATATACATAGAAAATAAAAAGAAAGGAAGGAAATGAAATACACAGCTGCTATCTCAGGACTGAGGAATGGCTGGTGGCTTCTCTTCACGTTTACTTCTCGGGACTTTTCAAATGTCCTACAGTGTTTCCAGAGTCCACATTAATCATCAGAAAGGAGCAGTCATGGCCAGTTGAGAGCAGACCAGAGGCCTGGGCACCTCCCTCTTTCTCTCACCCAAGTGCTTATTACCAGAATGAAACTCAGAGGTTTAGGGTTGAGACACCCTACCCTGCCCCTCAGAGATCTGTGCAAATGTGGCTGGGTCTCAGTCTGTGGCCTGGCACATTCTATGGCTTTCTACTTTCTACCCCCAGCCCCCATCCTACATCCACATGGGCTGTCCTTGTGCTGCTCATGTTGATTTTAATGGGAAGTGCAGCCCCTTCTCCCAACACTCTCTCTCTCTCTCTCTCTCTTCCTCTTTCTCTCTCTCTCTCACACACACACACACCAACCTGCCTTGAGTTTCTGTGATTTTTGAACTTTACTGAACGTTGGAATATCACGAGGTGGGTCATATCATGAAACACACAAAACATCAGCCATCGCACAGGTTCACTCCACCTCCCCTCTTTTTCTTCTCTCTCTCCCTATCCTTCTGCAAAGTAACCCACAACTTTCCCCGCGTCTGGAGCAGAACGGCCCTGCCCACTCAGGTTCCAGAGGCTCACCTTCTACCCCTGAGCAGAATGGTTAGGAATTTCTGCTGAACACACCTGGGCCTTCCTGGAATAGAATCTAGGTGAACACGCAGTCCACCCACATTAAACAGGGCACATCCCCGAGCTGGCCTTGACTTGATCCTGGCCCTTCACTCCTCCTCCTACAGGGTCCAGATGATCACAACCCTGCTATGGGTCAGGAATCATCACTCTTCTCTCTTATTTTGTTCACATATGTCTAGCACAGTGTTCTGCACATGCTAGATGGCGACTACTTAGAAATGTAGAGGGTCTGGGGCTGGCCCCGTGGCCGAGTGGTTAAGTTCGCGCGCTCCGCTGCAGGCGGCCCAGTGTTTCGTCGGTTCGAATCCTGGGCGTGGACATGGCACTGCTCGTCAGACCACGCTGAGGCAGCGTCCCACATGCCACAACTAGAGGAACCCACAACGAAGAATACACAACTATGCACCGGGGGCTTTGGGGAGAAAAAGGAAAAAAGAAAAAAAATAATAAAAATAAATAGAAATGTAGAGGGTCTCTGTTTCTTCACCCAAACTTCCAATCTCTCTCCAGCCCCTGGGGAAGGGGCCCCTCTGGTGGCTGTAGGATTAAGCAAACCTGGATACAGATCCCAGATCCTCCATTCAGAAGCCTTTTAACCTTGGATGAACTACTTAACTGGGCTGAAACTCAGTGTCTTGAATTGTAAAATAGTAATTATCTCACAGGATTGTTCAAAGAATAGAAAAGAGAATGTTTGTAAAGTCATTGGCACCTAACAAGCGCTCACCAAATGTAAGATATTACTATTACTGTCACAGTGCTGTTACTATTTATGTAGCCAGTGTTTTACATTGAACATTTACTGTGTAGGAGGCACTGTGCCCCAGGTTCAATAAACAAGGAGTGGCTAAAACGGTCAGTGTCCCTGCCTCAAGGAGCTTACACTTTAGGAAGATAGACATTCGACCAGCACATGCACAAACAAATAGAATTATAAACTGTGTTAAGTTCAAAGATGGAAAAGTATAGGTTGCTACAAGCGAGTACATCAAGGAGGACTCATTTAGGTTGGAGGATGCATCAGGAAAGGCCTCGCTGAGAAAGTCACTCATTGAAGCTGAGATCTGAAGGATAAAAAGACCTTGGTGGAGGGAAGAGTGTTCCAAGAAAGGGGAAGGGCATGTGTGAAGGTCCTGAGGGTGCAGAGAGTTTGGTGCATTTGAGGAAATGACAAAGACAGACATTCAGCACGGCTGGACTGCAGGGAACAGGGTGGTAAATGTCAAGTGTGAGCTGGTAGAACCAGGCAGAGGCCATTTGCCTGCTTTCCAAACTTTGGGGGATTTCTCACATTTTAAATCTTTCTCTTTCCACTAGCTTCTTTTTCTCATTTTTCAAACATGCACCGGGGGCCGGCCTGATGGCGCAGTGGTTAAGTTCGCACATTCCACTTTTTGGCGGCCTGGGGTTCGCCGGTTCGGATCCCAGGTGCGGACATGGCACCGCTTGGCAAGTCATGCTGTGGTAGGCATCCCACGTATATAGTAGAGGAAGATGGGCACGGATGTTAGCTCAGGGCCAGTCTTCCTCAGCAAAAAAAGAGGAGGACGGCAGATGTTAGCTCAGGGCTAATCTTCCTCAAAAAAAACAACCAAAAAAAACATGCACAGGTTTCCTCTGTCTTGAAAAACTTTCATTTGAAGCAGTGACCCTTGTTCTGCTATTTCTCACCTTCCTCGCCCACATTTTTAACTGGGGGGAGGGGAGGAGGAGGAGCACAGACTATTCTGTCTATTAGTTTACAGAAGTTCCCTGGTTTTTCTTTCCTTTACCCTCTCAACCTGGTGTCTCTACACATCCCTTTTCTGAAACTGCCCCCTAAAGGTCACGGTGAGTTTCTGGTAAAACCTAACCACCTTCTCCGTCCTTTCTCTACGTGATACCTCTTGGTTTCCACAGTGTGGGCAGCGGCACTCGGGGTGCAATCTGTGGGCCAGAGCTGGGTGCCAACTGTTTGTTACTTGCCCTTGATGAGCTAAGTACAGAAATTCACAGTAAGCATTTAGAAACTTTTCAAGCCATTTGACAGGATAGATTTTTAAAAAACAAAACTGAGGCTTGTATATTGTTGTCTTTTTAAATTTCATTCCTTTAGTAATTATTTTTTACTATATCTTACAATAGGACTGTCGGGCAAAGGATTGGAAATACACACATACATGCCCTCCTGATGGTTCGAGAAGCCTGGCGCCATTTGGCCCTAATCTACTTCCCCTTGCAGACAACTCTTCTGGTGCCTTCAGTGAAGCTCTCTTCCTCTTCCTCTTCCTCTTTCTGGGCACTGAGCATTTCCCAAGTCTTTTCCTTTTTAGGCTCTAAACTTTAACATTTCCACATCTGAATTCATCCTCATCTACCTCCATCCCACCCTCGCTCCTTCATGAACTTGAACTTGGCACTTGGGGCAGAAGCACAAAGAAAGGCCAAGCTGCAAGCTTCCAGGCTGGGTCTCTGTGACCTTGAGTCAGGCCATGGGGCTAAAACTGTCACCCGTGCCCCAGGGAGCCTGGCTTACTAACAGAAGATCATGCCAAAAGGAGGGGCTACCAATCCATGAGCCCCTCCTTCCTCCCCTTGAGGTGTCCAGCCAGGAGAGGAAGGAGCAAGCTTCAGAGTTCTAGGAGATGGGGTCTGGAGGCGGGAGCAGATCTGAGCTTTTTTCTCTATGATGGGAATGGCCTGTGCTGGGAGCCCACTCCAAACATCTCTAGTCTGAACTGCCATTAGCCCAGGCTGCCATTAGCCAGGCAGCTGACTCGGGATGGAGGGGTGGTGGTCTGTGGCCGAGAGCAGAGTGAAGTTGGCCTGGAGTGGGCCACAACTCCTGGGTTTCCCCCAGTGAGCTAATCAGATTAGGTTAGCTGGAGTCCTCAGCACGCACACTACAGAGATTTGGTTGAGAAGATGTAAGCTGTTCAAAGAGACCATAGAATCATTCATTCAACAACATTTACTGAGTACTGACCAGATGCCTCACTTGGATTAGCACTTTCAAACTTTGCAACAACCTTGACGAATTACTACTACTATACACATTTTATATATGAGAAAACAGAGGCATAGAGAGGTTTGATAAATTGCTCAAGGTCACACTGGGAGAAAGTGGTGGAGCCAGGGTGTGAACCCAGGACACATGGTTGGAGACTGCTGCTCTTAATGACCCGGGCATTAAGCAGAGCGTGCAAGTAAGGCAACGCGGGATGAAAGCTGCAGTCAGTCCCCAAATTAAAACAGGTAGAGTTTCCAAAGTTTGTTGTTAGGAACTTGAACTAATTTTCCATACAAAACCATACAAAATTACACATAACCGAGCATTACCCAGGCAAGCCCTCTATTTCCCTTATAATATAACTAACCTACGCTAGGAAGAGAAGCTATGAACCCTCAGAGGGAAAACGGGACAGGTGAGGGTTGCTTCACTGGGAGCTAAGCAGTTTCTGCCACAACGTCAGGAAGCCCACTCCTGGCAGCAGAGGGAGAGGGTGGCAGCCAGCACTTACAGGTCAAGCCTCCACGGCCTGGGATTCAAGCACGACCCTAGCCAAGTTTGGCCTCTGCTTTGGCTGCAGGAAGGGGCAGCAGTTGTGCCTTGCTCTACCATGGAGAGAGTTCTCTAATTGTTTTGATTTTTAAAAATCTCTTTTGAAGTACCTATGAAGCAATGTTTGTATAAGTCAAATTTTAAAATAATAAAATTATTATAAAGTATCTATAAAATAATATCTGCATAGTTCAAATGTTTTAATAATAAATGCCCTAAC